GGGCCGAGGCCGGGGCGGGCGGCCGGGGCGCCATGGCCGAGTCCCAGCTGGGCTGCCTGGACGAGGCGCACGTGAACGAGCGTGTGAGCGAGGCGCAGGCCGCCTTCTACTACTGCGAGCGGCGGCGGGCCGCGCTGGAGGCGCTGCTGGGCGGCGGCGAGCAGGCCTACCGCGAGCGGGTCCAGAAGGAGCGGCTGCGGGACTTCCTCTCCAGCCAGGAGCGCCAGGCTCTCCGCGCCGCCTGGAGCCCCTACGAGGACGCCGCCCCCGCCGCCGCCCCCGCCGCCCGGGGCAAGAGCAAGGCCAAGGCCAAGGCCCCGGCCGAGCCCAGCGAGTCCCTGGCCTACTGGCCCGACCGCTCCGACACTGAGGTGCCCCCGCTGGACCTGGGCTGGACCGACACTGGCTTCTACCGCGGTGTGAGCCGCGTCACCCTCTTCACCCACCCCCCCAAGGAGGAGAAGGCGCCCCACCTCAAGCAGGTGGTCAGGCAGATGATCCAACAGGCCCAGAAGGTAGGCCCCACGCCCCCCACACCGGTGGGACCCCACCACCAGCCCCGTGGACCAGGCTGCACCTCGGAGGCAGGGCCTGGGGCAGGCCGCTCTGACCACCTTCTGGAAAATGGGCCCCGAACCCTCCCTCACGTCGTGGGGCTGGTGAGGCCTCTAGAGAGGATGGAGGTGAACGTGTTTGGCAAATTACAGGGTGCTGGACAGTCATTATTCCAGTGTCCAGAGGCGCTGGCTTTCCTCTGCTCTGTGCCTCTGTTTCCCTGTCGAGTTCCATTCTCTAGGGAAGAGTGGGGACTGTGGGGCCCTGTGTAAAAGGGCCACTCAGAGGTGTGATCATAACCTGTGTGCTGCCCAGGGATTTACAAAACATGGCCCTGGCCATTTCCTCCTTTGATCTTCAAAACAACCCCAGGAAGTGAGTGGCGTGACCTCCCCACCCCGACCCCAGCCGTGCTGCTCTTAGCAGGCCCCCCAGAGTCCAGGCTGGCCTGGCGGGCACACTCCCTTCTGGGCCCAGCACTAGAGCTAAGCAGCCTGGAATGAATGGAATGTATTCTGAGCACCTACTGTGTGCGTGGCTGTGACGAGCACTTGGACAAGGCAGGTGGTTGGACCCAGCAGCACAGGAGAAAGCTCTCTCTTATTGGTCTGCTCTGCTTGAGGGTTGAAATGACAGGATGCTTCCAGGGTGGCTGGTTAGAAAACTGGCGGGGCTCATAGGTTGTATGGCAGGGGGAAGATTTTAGTCTTTTCTCTGTGCCCTTCAGTAGGGGTATCTGGGTAGGGTTTCCAGATAAAATATAGGACACCCCATTAAATTTGAATTTCAGATCAACAATGAGTAACTTTTTAGTAGTATGCCCCAAATATTGCATGGGTCATACTGATGCTAAAAAGTTATTCGTTATTGGAATTTCAAATTTAATGGGGCATTCTGTGTTTTGATTTGCTAAATCTAGCTCCCCTACACTGTTGTTAAGAAACACCAGCAGACTTTGGTGCCCAGTTCAGAATATACACAGGAGTAGCTTGGGTTCACTGTTCTAACAACTCAATGCATGTGGTTGGAGGTGAACGGCCTGGGGAGGGAAGATTAACCCAGAAAGACCAGTGGTGGGGCTCCTCTTCCTGGAAGTAGATTGGCCACCAGAAGGAAGGGTTAATTTTTCACTGTTCGTATCTCCACCTCCCTCTCTAAGTAATTCCTCCTTGTCTGCGTGAGCTTTCTTTGTATATTGCGTTCTGCAAAACACAGGCAAGTTTGAATACAGCTTCCTTTGTTACAAAAGGATGTTGGTGACAATCCTATGCAGCAGGCTGCAGCTGGGATCAGAGGTCAAGTCTCATGATATACTACTAACGAAACTTGATTTATTAGCACTTAACATGTGCCAGCCCCCACTGTGCTAATGATTTACCTACATTGTCTCTTGCTTTTCACAACATCTGGGTGTGATGGGTATTTTCGTTTTTTTTGGATTCAGAACAGTTAACTTGCCAAAGGTCACATAGCTGGTAAGTGGCTGAGCTAGGATTCAAACGCTGAAGTCCTTGCTCTTAACCACTGTCTACCCTGCCTCACTGTTTGATGATGGTGCACCAGGATTAAACCAAGGAGCGTGAGTGGAGCTAGCCTGATCATAACCTGGGGTGCAGGTTGTGTACCCCTGTTACAAGAAGGGAGAGACAGGGCCCCTGCCCAGTGGGGCTTCTAGTCCCATGTGGGATGTTAGGAGTCTTCTGCGTGGTGGAGTGTTCTTAACTCTTTAAATATTTAACAACTTTAACAATTGTGAACCAATCTTATATGTGCATATTTAACCAGTAGTTCTTTCCTAAGTGCCTACTGTGTGCCAGGCACTAGCCATGGGAGGATATAAGCTGTGGCCTTTGCCCTACAAGAGTAAACTCAAATGGTAGAGGATGTGCTAGAAGAGTTTTTGAGGCTGGATGTGCCTAAACTGGGAGGGCTTCCTGAGAGAGATGAATTACAGAGTCGAAAGAGGAAAGAGAAGGAAACTGGAAGGAGCAGTTTCTCCATAAGAGACTCAGGAGCGGGAGCAAGAGATTTTTGCTTCAAAACAGCAAGCAGCTCTGACTGGCAGGAAGAAAGCTATCCTGGTGGGAGCTGAGTACTGTGTGGGGCCTGGTGCGTGGGTCCTAAAACTGAGTCCAAGGCAGTTGACCACCCCCCTGAAAGAAGCAGCTTCAGACCCTGTCTGTGCCCACTCAACTCCCAGGCCCACTGGGCCCCCACCCTTAGTTACTGCTGCTCACGTCTGTACAGCACCTGCTTCTGAAAGACCCCATGAAGTAGGTAGGGCAGAGAGGTTGATCCTGTTTCACAGGTGAGGAAACTGAGGCACAGAGAAGGAAGGGGGCTTGCCCAAAGGTCATGTGGTTGGTTATAGAAAGCCCCAGATCCCTAGCTTCTGCTCTAAAGGCTACACCCCCTGACCACTGCCTGCCCCTCACCCCAGCTTGTCCAACTGGCAGGCAACCTTCCATGGCCATTACATTAGCTCCTTCCTCCTTCCTTTTCACCCTGAGGGAGGGAATTTCCTTTGTTGCCACTGCGAGTCCGGCTGCTGCAGGCAGGGTGGGGCAGAGACACGGGTGATTGTGGAGGGGAGGCAGAAGGACAGACACACGTCCAACCGTGTGCCAGAGAGTTTCGTATTTTATCTCATTTAATCCTTGGAATAATCTCGTGAGGTGCTGTCCTTTTATTCCTGAGTGACAAACAGGAAACTAAGACTCAGGGCAGATGGCTGTCACTTGCCCACAGCCGCAGATCAGTGAGGGTTCTGAACCTAGGCCTCAGGGATATGGAGAAAGGAACCTAACTAGGGGACACTTTAAAAATATGATTAGGGCTTGGAGAGGAGGGGCAGAGGGTGGTGGCCAGTGAGGAAACAGCCTGTGGGTGTGGAGGTGGGACCATGTGGAATGGGAGGCAGGCCTTTGAGGCGGCCAGCCTTAAGTTGTCTGCTCTCTGGGCCTCTGGGCTGCACTGGATAGCCAGCATTCAAACATTCCCATGTTTACTTGTGGGATGGGTTATTTCCTGCTGGTTTTTTTCCCCTTGAGTGATCTGCTTATTTTAGTGTCACTGAATGATGTTCTTTGCTTCAACTACAGGTGGAAAGGGTGCCTTCAGGGACCCAGAAATGAGTCCTTGGCCTGTCCCACGCTGGCACAGGTGACCAGGGGAGGTTGCCACTGCTTGGGCTGCTAAGAGCACTGTAACTGCAGGCGGTGGACTTAATGCGAGACCTTGTGTAGACTTGGTTCTTATTTGCAAGGGCACAGGAGAGGACCAAACCACTGCATTTGGATGGGCTAACAATTGGGAAGGATAGTGCATCCATTTGGTTGCTGTACAAATATTTTGAGGTTTACTGTGTGCTAAGCACTTTAGGAGAAAACAGACATATAAAACACACCTCTGGTCTTAAATAGCCTAATCGTCTACTAAACCGTCATTATAATATAGTGTGATGAGTCCTTGACAGAATGTGTGGCAGAAGGGGCACTAACCCAGCCCCTGAGCCAGGTTAGGGAAGGACCTTTGATGCAGAGGACCTGTCTGCAAGCATGTCTCAACACAGCAGGGAGGATGAGCTTGCACCAAACATCCACCCCTCTTTGCACCCAGGCTCCCTTGTGACTGGTGGCATCCATTTCTGAGGCTGCTGGGCAGGTTTAGAGAGTATTACCTGTACTTCAGGAACAGAAGAAAACCTGCTGTCCCCCCACCTCAAAGAATGACCCTTGACCCCTGCATTCCTGGCCCACACCCAAATGTACCAGCTACCCAGCTCTTCATTGCTTATCACAAACTCCCCCCTTTCCTTTGAGCCTCAATAACCGTATAAGGCAGAGTATTATCCTCATTTCACAGAGGAGGCCTCTGAGGTCCAAAAAGGTGAAATGACTTATCTTCAGCCAAAGACAAGGAGATTATACAGCTTCCCCAGGTCCCTGGTCAGAATTACCAATGACACCATGAAGATTATAAACACAACCAGGAGAGGGAGGCCCCTGGACTAAGCAGCTTTGATTAACCCGGAGCTGCTCCCCTTTTTTCCTCCTGCAGTGGGAGGAGCAGGCCTGCCCGTTGGTGGAGGACAGAGGTGCATGGGTAGCAGGCCTGGCCCTACCCAGTCTCTGCCTGTTGACAGATTCGTCCCCTTTCCTTCAGGGCCAGGCTCAGATGCCACATTTTCCTTGGCACTTTATCAAATTTTCAATCCAAAAGTGACTTTTTGTTCCCAGATGTGATGCCTCGTTTGTGCCACCTGTGTGCCTGGCACACAGCTCGCTTTGGGAGAGTGAATTTCATCCTCGGGGACTGGGAGCTTTGGAAGAGCCGAGACCCCATCTTATTCCTCACCATCTCCTTTGCAGGGCCCGTACCATCACAGGCAGTCAATGATTTGTTTAAAAGATTGGAAACTGTCTCCTATTGGTGACCAGTCCCTCTGCATCCCTCTAGAGAAGGAAGTTTCTGGAGAAGTCTCCTGTTGACCTGCCTGTTACCCAGGGGACTCCTTTAATCCCCCTTGTAACAAGGTGTCTGGCAGCAGAGAGAAGAATGCTCTAATTTGTGGGGGCAGGGTGGGGGGTTGGGGAAAGGCTCCAGAGCAGGAGGCATGGTTGGCCAGGTTAGCAGCCCTGGTTAGAGGTCTGGGCAGCTGATGGGGTTGGACAGCTGGGTACACATGACCAGGGAGCATGGCAAAGTCTTGGAGTTTCCAGCTGGTTGTACCATGAGACTCAGCTTTGCAGGTGGCAGCCTTTGCCACTGAGTAGAGCCCACTGTCTTCCTCCACTGGCCTCAATCGGTGCTTCCCTCATTCAAGTGCATCCAGCAAATAGTACCAAGCACCTTCTCTGTACAGGCACCATGCTAGGTATTGGGATATAGACATAAAGCAGATGCAAAAACAAAAAACAAAAAAGCGGTTTACATATATAATTTTTTTAAGTGTTATTGG